GGGGGGAAAATTTTTGGGGGGGGGGGGGGGCCAAGAGAATGTTTGCCCAGGGTCCGATCAGTATTAAAGACGGGCCTGAGCCCTAAGTAAGTCACCAAAACTTAAAATGAAAAAGCAACCACATACAAAAACCCTATAATTTTGACCATAAAAAAAAGTAGGTTTACATGAAGCATAATGCAACATTAATTTTTACAAAAACTGTTATATTGACGGCCAAGCAGAGTCAAAGATTTGGTAAGCATAAGAACTTCTCATTTACAGTTATAGAAACTTTAGATGTTTTCCAGTTTCCATCACAAATTGACTGGAACAATGTCGAAAATTTAGTTCCATATTAGACATATCCAGTACCATAGTCAAGTATTCTATTTCCAAAGTTATCAAATGGATCTAATAATGGACAAATTTAACATCACGGTGATGTAATCTATATCCAGTGACAAAATGTCAGAAATAGATTCTCATTCATTGCAGACAGGTTAAGCGAAACATGGAACATCAGTTGAGGTTTATAGATTACCTCACCGGGAAGTTTGTCCACTATTTTTTTGTAAAGCGCTGTGCATACTGTTGGCGCTATATAAATCCTATATAATATTAATAAGACTGATCCATTTGATTTCCTTTGAAATAGATTACTTGACTATGGTACTGGTTATGTCCAATATGAGACTAACCTTTTGAGATTGGTCCAGTCAATGTTTGACCAACAACCAGAATATATTTAAAGCCTCTATAACTCCAAACTGTTAGGTCTAGAGTTGCCTTTTATGTGTTATATCACTGTCAGCTATATGTTGAAACAGCTTATGCAAGTAATATTCTTATATGAACAATATAACACATTTAGATTATGTAAGATTATGCGTACGTGTCAGCAGTATGAGCATTTCCTCTTTCCATAATGTGTACGCGATTGTCTGTGTATATAAACTGCGCCTTTTCTATAATAAACTCGAACATGATTAGACTTACAAACTGTGTCTCTCTATGATTGCTTCCCGGAGCTCTGTATAAGGATTTCTCTGGTGTGTCCGGTTCCGAGTGGTCTTCAAATTAACCCCTTGCACAAACTAGAAGTTCTAAATATACTTACCTACTCTCTGGCTCTACTTGGATCTCTAGATAAGTTTTTTGGAAAAGTAAATGTTGTAAACATCTTATTTATGAGCAGAAACAGGGTTTTTTGGTATGTGGTTGCTTTTTCATTTTAATTGTTATAAGATATGGTGATCTACTAGGGCTAGGATAATAAAAGTTAAAATATATATTTTTTCTGTTGTGATACTGCCTCATAGTCATTATATTTTTGGAAATAAGATTTCTAACAATTTAGAAAATACATGAAAGCTTCTTATATCAGGCAATTATAAAGGGCACACCCCATACCTCCCAGTTTATAGCGCAGTCCCCACACCAAGTTAAAAAAAATTTATGTGGGTGTTCATACTTTTCAATCTCTCAATCGGAAGTCAGTTGCATGTAGGGGAAAGACATTGAAGACTACACTTTTGATAAACCCCTGAAACTTTCAAACACAGCTGTAGAGGTTATCCCTGCCTAGGTTTCCCAGCCTCAACTTCCATGGTAGGTTTACTGGTCCATAAAATCATAATAGAATGTGTTATATACACACACACACAAGGCTTTGATGATTATGTGGCCAAAAAATAATCATCTTAACCCTGAACTCTAAAAATAATTCGGAGGTTTCCCATTTTGGGTTATAAAATGGCAAATGTTCCTCAGCCAAGGAACAGCCTTTAACTACCTCCGGGCCGGCCGATCG